GAGCGCAGGGTCTGTCTGGACCAAGAGGGATGCCCCCTGCTCCGGATGGCGGGGCCCTGCTGCCCAGAACCACAGCCCCCGGGACGGTATCGATTCACTAGGGGGCTCCCCCAGGCAGGAGATTCGCCGCCAGACTCTGCTCAGACAGCCCCAGGGCTGGGGGAGGGGGAACTGGCAGCCGGCCCCAATGAGCCAGAGCTCTCGGAACTGGGGAGTCAGGTGTCAGGGGCAAGAAAGCACCCCGATCTGCTGAGAGCCAAAGCTGCAGTAGGGGGGAGCTCCCCGCACAGCCAGGGCTCCCGCCCCACTCCCCACAGCTGGGAGAGGCCAGGGCTGGAGTAGTGGAAGTGGGGGTGCTCAGTGCTTGCTGGCCCTCCAGGGGGGCTGCAGCTGCATTGTGCAGAGCGGAGAACGGCCTGCGCCCCGGGCGGGGGCCATGTCAGGAACTCGAGTGCAGCCTGTGCCAGGGCACGTGGGGCACACGTAGCTCCCTGCCCCTGGGGCTGCACACGTGGGGGGTGGAGCTGCACACACCCAGAAGCCTGCAGGGGGGGTACACAGCCCAGACCAACCCCCCCCCATTGGATGCCAGGGGGCTGGGGGAGACAAGGAGCAGCTTAGCGCCCCATATGTGACCCCCCTGCTGCCCCCGAACCCCTCCTGCTACCCGCCCATCCACTGAGTCCCCCCACCCTGCGCCCCCCCAACCGCGCCCCCCTCGCCCCGCCCCAGTGAGCGGGAATGAGAAGCAGTTGTGGCTGCTGGGCCATGCCAGCGAGTGAGTCAGCGGGTGGGGAGGCCCCACGGCACTTGGTGAGGAGCCTGGGACCAGGCCGCACCAGCCATCTGTGATCCCCAGACAGGCACCAGCCCCCCAACCAGGGACCCAGCCCCCCAACCAGCCCCGGAACCCTCGAACCAGGGACCCAGCCCCCCAACCAGCCCCAGAACCCCCAACCAGGGACCCAGCCCCCCAAACCAGGGACCCAGCCCCCCAACCAGCCCCAGAACCCCCAACCAGGGACCCAGAAAAATTCAGGTGGGTGCTCATGGCATTAAGGGCGCTATAAGCACCCCCAGTAAGTCTGACCCCCGGCAGAGGGCAAAGGGACCCTCCAGGCCCACCCTGCCTGCAGGCCGCGACTCTCACCCAGTTGATGAGGATGATGCGGGGCTGCCCGGAGCTGGGGTCCTGGACGCGGCAGAGGCCGTACATGACGCTGCTACTGGAGAACTTCCCAGCCAGCTCGTCTACCCCGCCGGCTGCAATAAGACAGGGGGTTGGGGGGGATCAGCAGGGCCCAGCCACCCACAGTGCTCCAGGGGACCCTGGGGCAGACCCCCATTGCTGGCTGCCCCCACTCCCTGTCTGGGGGAGGGGCACTGGGGCAGCTTCCCTACGCATCCTTACCCCCGCCCCCCACACAGGGGGCAGCTCCTTAGCCTGCCCCATGGAGAGAGGCCAGGGTGGTAGGAGAGATCAGGGAACGGCAGCTGGGTTAGCTGCAGAGAGGTGCTGGGTGCGCTGTGCCGCAGGGAGCGGGTCATGGATCAGCAGGGGGCGCTCTCCCTGGCAGACGGTGTTGCACTGGGGGGCACTGGGCTGCAGGGAGCCGGGCGGGGGCAGCAGGGGGCGCTCTCCCCGGCAGTCGATGCTGCACTGGGGGCACCGGGCCACAGGGAGCAAGGCGGGGGCAGCAGGGGGCGCTCTCCCTGGCAGTCGATGCTGCACTAGGGGGCACTGGGCCACAGGGAGCAAGGCGGGGGCAGCAGGGGGCGCTCTCCCTGGCAGTCGATGCTGCACTAGGGGGCACTGTGCCGCAGGGAGCAGGGTGGGGGGCAGCAGGGGGCGCTCTCCCCGGCAGTCGGTGCTGCACTAGGGGGTGCTGTGCCGCAGGGAGCGGGCAGGGGCTCTCCCCTGGCAGTCAGGGCTGGCCCCATTTGGCCCCAGGGGGCACTGTGCCGAGGTGAGCTGTGACAGCGAGGCCGAGTTCTGTGATTATTGACGAATCTCTCCTGCGTCTGGGTGCAGTCCCGGCCTGGGGGGCGCCGGCAGGTCTCTCCAGCCCCTCGACAGTCTCAGCGGGAGGCCGGCCCATGCTGCCGGGGGGCGTTAGAGAGCTGCCAGGTGGCAGCGCCAGGGGACAGCTCCTTAGCTGTGGCAGCAGCTGTGGATTCCTGTGGGGCAGGCGGCTGGGAGAGGGGCTGTGGATCCAGCGCCCCGGCACCTCTTACCTCCCGAGTCCAGGAGTTTCAGCTCATTGTGCTTCCCATACGCAAAGATGGCCCTGGAGTGGGGCAGAAAGGGAGGTCAGATGGGGGGAGGGGGATACTGGGGCAACCAATCTTCTTCCCACCACCCCCAGCTCAAACACCTGTTCCCCCAGCCCAGCAACCCCCTCCACAG